CTATCACCAGCCTTCTTGTCCCTTTCTGCCTTCTAGCCCTTGTCCCTGGACTGCTGTGCCTCATTAGTCCCATTTGGTTTTATGGGGCTGTCCACTCCCCGGCTGAACGGTGAACCTCAGAAGTGACTTCACCACTGAGCTAAAAGGGTGTCTGGGGGCCGTACTCCCGGGGTTCCCACCTCTAATTTTTAATGAAAGTCATCAAGAACTATGAGGCATCAGAGATTTTACTTTACTTTCAAGCACACAGGTTAGCCTGCCACAGTTTAATGTATGCTAGCAGAAGACACAAGACTCCTGGGTCAGAGAAAAAAGAATTTATTACTCATGGCAAATAGCAGTAACCAGAGTATCTGCATTTAGGCTGGTTTCCTGAGTCTCAATTCCCCACAGGCAATGTGAAATGAGCCAGGTGACACCTGCACAGGCAGTGGGCTGAGTTACAGGAGAGGTGCCTGAGCTTAGGGAAACCACATCTTTTACAACGTGCAGTAAGCCTGCCTGACCTCTGCTCTGGAGGGAGACATTATCTTATTGTACTGGAGAGTAAACAGACCTGTCCAATGCTTTAGTAGGAGAATTTTTGTCTTCTAAGGCTATTCACTACACAAATATTCTTGAAAAGATTGTCTCAAGCAAAAAGAATCAGTATCTCTGCTCACAAAACGTGCAGAAACATGAGGAATCCATGGATAATTGTCTTCCAACAATAGTTTCCACCTGGCTCATTAATTCTTGGTCATGAGAATTGGACAGACTTGGATTCAGATCCAACTCTTACCACTTTCTAGCTCTGCACCTTGGGAAATATTAATATCTTCTACTATTTACGAAGGACTCTATAAATGCTTACCCAATAGCTTATGAATTCCTATATAACCTAATTTTTTTAATTTAATTAATCTACTTTGATGTGTTGTTGTGCGGATTATTAGTAATGTGTGTGAAGTGTCCAGCAGAGTTACTGCAATGTAGCAGCTGCTCACTACATGGCAGAATATTGAAACTCATTTCAGAGACAGCCAGGATGAGTCTACAAATATGCTCATGTGTCCCAGAAGAAAGCATTAGACAAGGGTTCCAATATATAGTCTTACTTATTAACTGATTAGCAACAAAATAGCATATTGCATTTGCAAGACAGTGACAATTCTCCAAATAAAAGAAATATAACTTGACTAATTTTTAAAGAAGTAAAATTAATACAGGCACAAATGTCACACTGTTGCATATAGATCTTGAGTACTATCTGCCCCTTAAATAAAACTCGTTCAACCAGAGGAGTTGTAGTGTACCTTCCCACACATCCTGCAATGCAGGCATAGTGGTTGTTATTGACAAACAAGAAAATCTAACAGATAGTAAGCAGTGATGGGAGAGTATGAGAAGAAGATTTGTTAGGCCTTTCTGTGTGCCAGGCACTGTACTAAGCATTTTATGTAGACTATATCATTTTCTTCCTCAAGGATTCTGTGAGCCAAGCATTGCTCTTCCCATTTTATGGATAAGAAAATGAAGGCTTAGAGAGGTTTTATTTCCAAGTTGATACAACCAGTAAGTGGCAGAGCTGCCATTCTCACCCAAATCTGTCTGACTCCCAAGTCCATACTCATTTCATTAAATCAATTTGCCCGTTTATGAATGTTGCTTGCTCTCTGTCTTAGTCATCTAGTGCTGCTATTACAGAAATACCACAAGTGGATGGCTTTAACAAAGAGAAATTTATTTTCTCACAGTCTAGGAGGCTAGGAGTTCAAATTGAGGGTGTCAGCTCCAGGGGAAGGCTTTCTCTGTCTGTCAGCTCTGAAGGAAGATCCTTGTCATTAATCTTCCATTGGTCTAGGAGCTTCTCAGGCACAGGAACCCTGGGTCCAAAGGATGTACTCTGCTCCCGGCACTGCTTTCTTGGTAGTACGAGATCCCTAACTCTGCTCGCTTCCCTTTCCTTTTATCTCTTGTAAGATAAAAGGTGGTGCAGGCAACACCCCAGGGAAACTCCCTTTACATTGGATCAGGGATGTGACCTTAGTAAGGGTGTTACAATCCCACCCTAATCCTCTTAACATAAAATTACAATCACAAAATGGAGGACAACCACACAATACTGGGAATCACGGCCTAACCAAGTTGACACATATTTTTGGGGGATACAATACAATCCATGACACTCTTATATTTATTATTTTTTCAAAAACCCAAGAGGTTACTGTCAAAAAACGTATGTCATGTTGTCATACTACTCTTTCTTAGAAAGGCTTCATATCGTCTTCCTCCGTTGCTTCTGGAATGTCATGTCTGACTTCCCTATAATGGGCATGTTCATATAGCAGCTTGGCTGGATGCCATTAGCACTTTCTCTCCTAGAATCTCAGCATAGTGTATTATTACGTTGTGTCTAGGCAATTTTATTCCATGTTTTCCTGAATTTTCTTTAATTAATCCATAAATTTAGAGGCCAGCCTAGCAAAACAAAAGATTTTGCTTAAAGGTTTTCTATAGCTGACTTTTTAATATACTTTCATGAAGGAATTTGAATAACAACAGATAGACTATTAGGACACTTGACACACATTGCTGTTTCCTCATTGTTTCAACTTAATGTTGTTTTAAATCCAGTAGTAATCTCTAATGAAATAAAATGCACTATATTCTGTCAGGTGAATTGACTCTATGTTCTGTGAACAAGCATTTGCTTCTACATTTCCCTTTGGGAGTTTCTAGGTTACTATTTAGGTAATAGCTGGTGTGGTATGCTGAAGACCACCTATAAAAGTTAACTTCAGCCCATTGATCAACCTGAAATTTGTATTGCAATCCTTTGAAAGAGAACATTAAAGGATTCCTTCCAGATACACTGTCATAAGGGAGATGTAATATCAGCTATTATTGCTTTACATAAAATGGTTTATCATAGTAGCTGGAAAGAGATTGAGGGACTACAACAAAGTATAGGCACGTTTTCTGTTAGGAGAAGTAATGGAGTGGTAAGACAGTCCTGGATGGGGTATCAGAATAGACAAGAAAGCAGTAAAACCAGGGCTTTAGTTTTCTGAGAGATTGTTGGTGATGGGATTGGGGGTAAGGCGGCTAGCCAAGAAGGCAAGCAAGTTAAAAAAAAAAAAATTAGGAAGACATATCTGCCTACTTCATACTTTTACATAATCTAGAGGTTGACATCCTAGTACGGTAACTTACAGCATCTAGTCCAGTGTCTTTTATAAATGAAAGAGAAGATCAGATTAATAGGAAATATTAAGATGACCATTTAGAAGATCCTATCTCCCTCGGTATTATTCTGCGGTTGGAAAATTAAAATGCCTTGGGTGTTTTACATGACATGCATTTACATATTTTGATTCTTTCAACAAAAGTACTTGTCTTTGTTAAATAATAAGAAACACATTTGAAGCCTTTTTAAAGACATATTGAATTTATAGTTATTGAAGAGTTACAGCTAGTACACTTGTATTTGCCAGGGAATTGTGGATGATAACTTATGAAATACTTCAAGAAGGCAATTTATGCTGAAAATTGTCCCAAACTAAAAAGTCCTGTCTTGCTCTGTGATCTTGTTTTGCCACAGGCAAATTAGTTTCCGAACATAGATGGGAGGTATCCGGACCTATAATACAAATTGATGTCTTTAAGGAAAATTTCTTAGCTTGAGCTACAGCATTATTTGATGACTAAGTCTAGATTAAAAAAAAAAAAAAATTGCTGTTAAGTCAATTCCAACTCACAGTGACCATATAGGACAAAGTAGAACTGTCCCACAGGGTTTCCAAGGCTGTAATCTTTACAGAAGCAGACTGCCACACCTTTATCCCATGGAGTGGCTGGTGGTTTTGAACTGCCAACCTTTCAGTTAGCCAAACTCCTAACCACTTCAGCACAAAAAAAAAAAAAAAAAAAAAACAAACCTGTTGCCGTCAAGTCGTTTCCAACTCCTAGCGACCCTATAGGACAGAGTAGAACTGCCCCACAGAGTTTCCAAGGAGCGCTTCGCCACCAGGGCTCCTTAAATCCAGATAGAAACCAAAAACCAAACTCATTACCATCGAGTAATTCTGACTTATAGAGACCCTATAGAACAGGGTAGAACTGCCCCATAGGGTTTCGAAGAAGTGGCTGGTGGATTCAAACTGCCGACCTTTTGCTTAGCAGTGGTAGTCATGTATGGCATAATGATCAGCTCACACTGTATTATGATTGTGTTGCTAAATGCCCACATGAGTACCAGAAATGTAGGCAGAGGATAGATATATTATAGGGAATAATTATTTTTAAGAAGATGAAATGGTCACTATTTTTCTTATTATGTAATTTTTCTGCAGATCTTAATATTTCAAAAGAAAGTAGATGGTGTGCCTGTGCACGTGTGTATTTAGGTGTGTGAGTGTGAATGTGTAACATTTTATTGATTCTAAGACTTTCTTTTGCTTTTCAACATTTCTTTAATATCAATGTGTCCATTAAATTTGATAGCAGTTTTTTTCATCATAAAAAGACATTGCAAAATAATGGTACACACTATAGAAGATGGCATCATAAAATCAAGGAAATGTTTTATATATAATGGCAACTGCCCCTTGGTATTACATATATCTCATATATAAATATTATATAAAATTATATATAAATCTCTCCTTCTTTGTCCACTTTGATTAAAGTAACTTTGTTTCCTAACCTTATATTTACAGCACCAAATGGGAATTTAGTGGTGGAGGAAAGAACAGTACTCACCTCAAACAAGGAATCCAAGCAAGTTGCACCAGAAATGTATATGCTGGAGAAGAAAGAAGCAATTGAGGAAGATGAAGTTCTCCAACCCAGGGATGCTGACACAGTAGAGCAAGAAAGGGAGGCAACATTGTGGGGGAAAGTAGGGGTTAATGAGGTTCCCTTTGAGGAGAGGAAGACAACAGCAGTGCAGTCAGCATTAGCAGAAGAACAGTTTATTGTGGAAAGAGAGGTCCCTCAGGACACTGAGAGTGGGGCAGAGGCAGCAGCAGCAGCAGAAGGGGATAGAAATCTGGGTGAAGAAGAAGGGTTAAACCCCACAGGAAAAGAAGGAGCAAGCGACTCTGCAAATCTGAATGAGGATGCAGCTCCTGCAGAGCAAGATTTGATGCAAACAGTGCTTGAGACAGAGGAGGCAGTTTCTGAAGGGGAAAATGGTTCAGAGAAGTCAGCGCTTGGAAACAAAGCAGCAGATCTGAACTTAGAGGGTATTGAGGAGCTAGCAACCCTGAGAGAGGCAGCAACGCCACCAGAGAAGGGAGAGACTGAGAGAGGGGCTGCTGTGAGTGAGGCAGGGTCCGAGAAACCAGATGAGGAAGGAAATGAAGAGGAAGCATCCACAGACCTAGAGAACAGAGGACCTGTGGAAGAAATAGCATCCAAGAGAGAGGATGGTTCAGAAGAGGCAATACTTGGGGGAGAGGAACTAGCCAAAGAGTGGAAGGAAGTTATGGGAATGGAAACACCTTTGAGCCCCTCAATCTCTGAGAAGGCAGAGGTAAACCAGATGGGTTGGGAGGACAACCCTGAAGAAGGAAGGAAGGAAGGGAAGGAAGATGTGGAAGGGGAGAAGATTGTGACTGAGGCAGAATCTAATAGGGGAGATGATAGGAAAGAAATGTTATCTGAGGAATTAGGTGCAGCAAGAGAGAGGAAGAAAGCCGAGAGGCCAAAAACACATCTGAGGGAAACTGAATCTGAGGGAGAAGAGGTGAAAAGGGCAAATTCACTTAAGCATGAAGATGATTTAGAAGAAGGCAAAGAATTTAAAGAGGGAGAAGGGGAAACCGTGAAAGAAAACAGATATGAGGAAGACACAAAATCTCCTACAAAGGAAATGGAATCTGATGCTAAGGATGAAGCACTCATGGAGGAATCTGAATCGACTAAAGATGCAGGGCTGCAAAGAGAAGATTCACTAAAATCCAGAGGAGTTGCAATGTTTGAAGAAGTACCCGGATTTGAAAAGTCACTGGAAAACATAACAATTCTGAGGAAAGAAGGAGGAGGGGAAAGAATAACAGAAGCCAGAGACACAGAGCACAAAGGCAGAGCAAATCTGCTTCACGAGGAGAACGTGGCTCCTGCAGAGAAGGATGAGGGGCCACAATATGATGGAGACCATGTGTTAGGAGCTCCTAAAAGTCAGCTGGCAGGAAAGGCACAGGCACTTGAGGTGACGGTCACAAGCACAGGTGAGGCTGAGGAGTGTGCAGACAGACATCAAGATTACCTTGCAGACCTGGCGGGGAGGGAAAAAGAAGGGCCTTTACAGGGCCGAGAAGGAGTGGGGGACATGACCATGACCCAAGGAGATGTTCCTGAAGGAGACTCCATGATGGCAGAAAAGTTCAATGAAGAAGCAATGGGTGAAGACATGGAGGAGGAGGAGAAAGAGTGCAGTCTGGGGACAGGAGTGATGAAGAACAGGAACGCAGAGGATGGCGGGAGCTTGAGAGAAGGAGCAGTTGTTGCTGAGGAAGACCTGAACCAAGGAGAAATGGCAGAAATGGTCACAGAGAAGAGGGAGGAGTTGACAGAAATGGAGAGAGCTGAGGGGAAAACAGCAAATAAAGCCTTCTCCTTTTCAGATGTTGCTGGGGAGGAAACTTGGCACAAGGCAGATGAATTAGTAGGAAAAATAGCTGATGCAGAGAGGGTGGTGGTAGAGGAAATAACGCTGAACAGAGAGAAGGTGCCAGTGGTGGAGGAGGTGACAATAGCATCAACACCAGAGGTTGGGCTGGGAGCTCTGCAAGAAGCTTCCGATCTGGAAGGGGGATGCCCACAGCTAGGATGTGATCAAGAGGGAGGGGAAGAGGAAGCCACTTTGAAAGCAGGATCAGTGGAAGAGGAGGAAGGGACAGGGAGCAGTGATGGGGGGCAGGATTCAGGAGCAGCTGAAGTATTCAGACTAAGATTATCACAGGAGAGAGAGTCAGAGATGAGTAGAGAGAGTCCACAGGCTGTGGAAAAACTTCCTGAGAAGCCTGATTTCACTGAAATCCAAGGGAAGCAAGAGCATATGGTGCAAAGAGAAAGTGAGAATGCAGATGTTTCCCGGAAACACGTGAAGGCCTAAGAGATTTGATGACAAACGGTGAGTTTTAAGCCTGATCTCATCACCTTCGTGCTGGCTTGCCCATTTATGGGGCCCTGCGTACACACAGACTTCACAGGCATACACACACAGACTTCTGTTCTCTGCTGCTTAGTCCGGTGCTGTTGAGGGCTCGGTAAGATGGAGGTGGGGCCAAAGCACACGCAGGGACCCGCTGCTATTTCCATCGCAACACTAAGTCATAGTCTGAGTCTTTGCAAGCACAGCTCTCTAAAGGAGTGAGATCTGCATCTTACTTAAAAGAAAACAAAACAAAAACAGTTGCTGTGAGTCTATTCCAACTTATGGCAACCTCATGTGTGTCAGAGTAGAACTGTGTGCTCCATAGGGTTTTCAAGACTGCCAGGACTTTCCTCCGGGAGGTTCCTTCGGGTGGATTTAAATTGCCAACATTTTGGTTAGTAGCCTAGTGTGTAACCATTTGCACCGCCCAGGGATTCCATGAAACTCCCTTACAGGGCCCCAAGGACGAAATACAGAGGAGAATAACGAAGTGCCATAAGGGAAAAGAGGCAGCTTCTCTCCTTTACATACCACAGAAGTAAAGAGTCAAACTCTGTTCCAGAATTCATTTCCCATTTAGTGTTTAAAGGATAGAATGAAGGTTGGCTGTGATTATTTGCCTCTAAATGCTTTGCTTTGATTTCTGCAGTTTTGTAAAGATATATATGCACGTGTGTGTGTGTGGTGTGTGTGTGTAACATTGAAGAGTGGAACTAAAGGCCAAAATTATTTTTGGCATACCCTGATGTTTCCTTGATGCCCTCGCATTTTAGTGCCCAGTTTCTACCCTCTTGAGTTATTATATTCCTGCTACTACTGTTCTTTTTATTATTCTTCAGGATATTTAAAAGAGATATTCTGGAAGACATGAAAAGTGAAGAAAGATTCACCCAGGCATCTCACCAGGACTTTGGATTTTAACTTTTTTTTTTTAAATCATTGTGCTTGTGTTTCCCAATCTGCCAGTGCTGGTCAGTAGTACAGTAAGCACCTTTGAGCGTACCTGAAGTAGACCTGTAGGACACTCCTTAGGAACCGCGGTCCCAAATTCAGAACTATGAGGCCATTATAGATTCTACACAACTGACATGTCTGTATTCAAATCAAAATGATGGTTTTCAAATGATCGACTTTTACCAAAGATCCACCCGAAAGGCCCGGTCCTGACACCTGGGGTTGGATCAAATTCTGTTTTATTTTACAATCAAATATTAGTCCTAGTTTCATGTGTGGGAATTTTATTTAAAATCCATGGGTTGGGGCTTTAAATGACTATGAAAATGAACTCAAAGAGTCGTCACATGTATAATCAATACTAAAAATTGTTCCAGGCCCATAAGTCCTTTCAGAAAAGATTCCATGGCATGTATCTTCACTTAGAAATAGTCATGGTTTCTATTTTTGCCAGAAGAATAATTTAAAGTCAAAACATTATTTGAGAATGCCTTTGTTTTTTGTGTGTGTTTCTAGTTCTGCTTACCCAAAGAGACCATGAAAAGGGTAGCTTGCAGCATACCATCCCTTGTGGTCTTATTTATACGGACATTCAAATTTAAATCAAAGTAGTAAATAATTGAGCTAAGCGAAGGTAAGTATAATAATTATAGCAGGTAAATGTAGTACATCAGCATATATATATATGTCAACATCCTAGACTCTAGACTGGTTGATTGCGTTCTAAGGAGAAGAAACTCTGATTAAATTAGTGTGCCTCTCACCTTGCAGAGTTCTTTCAAACCTGTGAACTAACCCTGCAGTGCACTGTCTATCAGCAGTCACAATCACTTTCTAAATTACCTCTGATATTGTTTCCTAGTTGTGCATCAGTGAGCCTCCTAGGAATTTTGATTTCCTTGAAGATATTCTTGTTCACATACCAGTACCTAGAAAAGAACACACGTGTGAGCAGATGAAAGAAAGAGAATTTCCTAAAGCAGTAAACCTCTAGCTGGACTACACGTTAGAGTTTCATGGAGTACTTTCATAAATGACTCAATCCCTGGCCCCATCCCAGAGATTCAGATGTAATTAGTTTTAGATGGGTCTGGGCATCAGTATGTTTTTTAACTCTTCAGTTAGTTCTACTATGTGGCCAAAGCTGGGAACCACTGCCCTAAATCATCATACATACAATCCAGGCTTGCTGCCAGCAGACTTTCTCCCAAAGGCTCTGGCATATTTTCTGTATGGTGTTTTCCATTTTTGTAAATAATGGAACCATTTAATGATCAAAGATAAAATAGATCAGTGGTTCTCAAAATTTGGTACTTCAATCAGTAGCATCAACATCACCGGATACTTGTTTGAAACACAAACTCCTGGCCTCAACCCCACACCCTGTGGGTAGAGCCCAGCAACTGGTGTTTTTAACTAGCCTTCCAAGTAGTTCTGATGTACTCTTATATCTGATAACTACTGTCATGGACTATTGATTGTATTGAGGATTAATCTCAGTGGGAGAATTGATTGTGGAAGCATTGTGTGAACTTTCTCCCTTTGTCTCTTACAGTCTGTCTTTCTCTGTCTCTCTCTTTAGCTCTTTTCTCTCTCTCTCTCTCTCTTCCCTGCTCCCTCTGTCTCTTGCCTCTTCTGTCTTTCTCTCTCTCTCTCCTTTTCTTTGTTTCTCTAAACTCAATTTTATTATGACTGTGATGATGTGTATATGAAGTTCCTCTGCCCCACCCCCTATTGAAGGATGAGCATCAGTCACTGTACGGTCATAGATGTCTATTGTCTGTGTTTCCTTTTATGAGCAGAGTTCATTTACATTATGCCCAAGTTCATTAATTACTGAGCTGCATTACTGTGAGGCTCTCTAATATTTGTTCCATGATTTCAACCTCAATGTTACAAAGCACTTTGAGTACATAGCACCTTATTGGAAAAATTTTAAATGTGTTGATTCCATTGAAAAATGAGTTTTGTACAATGTGCTAAATGGAAATTGCATTGGATTATTTTTATATTTAACACATTCCACCAAAACCTCCTGTAACGTAATTCTGCAATCTGCATGGGGGTTTAACTGTGAAATTCAGTGTTGTTATATTGTGATTAAGTGAATTCTTTTTCTGCAAGTACTATGTTGATAAAATTATTTGTCTGTTCAACTGAACTTATTCTTTTCCTGGTTTCTTCATTATTGAAAACATAAATAAATCATATGTTTGTGGATAAGACATGTGACTGGTTCCTTATAAATAAGACTAGTCTGAAAATCTTTGTTCTTTCTTTACAAAATCTGAACTTCCTAGAGCACAACAGAGAAAATTAATTTCATTGGACTTTGTTTTTGAGTATATGTGTTTATATTAACCTTCAAATGTGTGTTCTACTTTTTTACATTTATACATGTCTTTCATATACATGAGATAATCCCAGGAAGGAAAATTATTTTGTCATTTTTTAGATAAGTAAACAGAAGCTCAATAAAGCTAAGTGGCTTGTCTAAAAATCATGGTCAATCTCAAGCCTTCTGACTCCAAACTCTGTTTTTCATCATATACACTTACCTCCTAGAAAAAGAAATATTAAATAGTTACTAAGATACTACATGTGGATTTCTACATGTTTTTATTTATGTATAAAGGGGAAAAAATCAAATATTAATAATATATCCTATATCAGTGACAAGGAAATCATAATTTCAGCCAGTGTCAAAGAATAAAATGGATTATTTCAATAACTCAAGAGAAAATAGACAATCAAGGGAAAGGTAGGCAGAAGTAGGCTTTCTACTTCAATTACTTGGGTTAAGCTTTTTCTATGGCTTTATAAACTCCTGTGTTGTAAATTTAAACTGTAGTTTAGTTCCTTAACACTTCTAAAATCAATAATTTTGCCACAATTATTGCCCTTGGAAAATGATCGTTTTAGAAAAGAAAAGAAAGCCTCAAGGAAGATTCATCTAGTAAGTGAAATATGCCAGCAGCCTCAAGGACAACCCAGGAGAGTTTGCTTCTGACCTTGGGTAATATTTCCTCCTAGTCTTCTGTACCACCCAATTGTGTCATTTAAAAGAAATCCCTGTCACCATTGCCAGCAGCAAGAGGTACAAGAGAACAGGGAACAAATACAGACAGAATTCTTTAGAAGTTGCTCTAAACTTACTTTTTTCCCCTTTTTCTTTATTAAGTTTATTCCCGCCCTATAATGTCATGTGCAAGCTTCAGAATATTTTGGAATGATTCACTACCCTCATTTTATATTAAGGGAAGTGAGGTACGCAGAAGACTCCAGGGACAGATAAGCTAGTGCCAAAAATCTAAGAACCAGGTCCCTGCCTCCTTTGTTAAATGTTTCCTGATCTATATTAAATACCTTCTTACAATTAAAAGCTTTAATAAGGACACAATTATGGGCGAAATCTCCCAGTTGTTTGCAGCTCTGGGTACTAATGTGCCCAAAACACCAAACCAGTTACCGTTGAGTTGATTCTGACTCATGGAGATCCCAAGTATTGCAAAGTAAAACTGCACTCCATAGGGTTTTCAAGACTGTGACCTTTCAAAAGCAGATCTTCAGAGGTGCTTCTGGGTGGGTTTAAACTGTCAACCTTTTGGGTCAGTAATGAAGGGCTTAACCGTTTGTACTCCCTGGGGGGCTCCACTAACAGAAACCTTCAAACTGGGGTAGGTGTACCCTCAAGTGGCAATGAAGCTTTTCAAGGGATTCACTGGCAAGGATTGTTTGCAGATTTCAACCTCCATATATATTTTTTCCTAAAATGAACCCGTCTGAGAACTCGCCTATAGTCAAGGTCTTCCCTTTCACAAATCCTCCACCCTCTCTTCTCAATAGAGACCAACTCTGCATCTATTTCCCAATTTTACTATGGTTCTGTAGCTTCTAGGATGACCGACAAAGGAGACAAAGGAATAATTTGAAACGTGGAGTGGGAGTTGAGAAAGGGAATGACTTTAATGACTGGTTAACAAATTTTTTGCAAGTCCAGTGAT